GGAGATTTTTCATTATACACTACCAAAATATTTTATTTGACCTAAGATTCATTAATTAGAATTTTAATAAAAACTGATAATTAGAATCACATCTAAATTGAGTATATTTTTAAATTTTATTAGGGATGGCAAAACGGTCGACCGCACCTATTGCCCGCTAAAAGCGAGTGGGATCGGCTGACTCGATATAGTCATGACGAATTGTAGACCTTAGCCACCTCGCCAAGTGACGGGTTAGTGAACCGACCTGCCATAATTTAGAAAAAAATATTTTTTTTAAATAAATTTTTTTAATAAATTTAATAATAAAATTATTATTTGTTTATCAATAATTCAATATATATATATATATATATATATATATATATATAATTTCAATTTAATAATATAAATCAATACATTATTTTAAGAAATTATAATTTAGAACAATAATAAAATTTACATAATAATAAATAATAACAAATATATATATATATATATATATATATATATATAATAATGTTAAACTTATAAAATTTATATTTTTTATATTGAAAAATTCAAATACCTATATCTTTTTTATTTAATAAAACTTCATATTATTCTTGGTTGAGTAATTCTTACACCATTAATTCAAGTAATAAGGATAAAAATAATCGATGCTTAGGATAAACAAGGAGAACAGGAGAGAATGTTATGTTTCAGGAGAATATTTTACGTGAGAATAAAACTTTTTTAATTCTTTTTTTTAAATTTTTAACTTTATATATTATCTTTATAATTAATTTTATTACAATAAAAATTATTTTTTTATTAATTAGGTGGGCCGCGGGTTGGCTCGCCTCGTCCCGCGGGTTGGCCCGACGGGTTGGCGGGGTTTGGCAGGACGGGCCAAAGTGGGCTGGTGGGCTGAAAACACCAACCCGTCCCGCCATATTATAGCGGGCTGGCAGGCCGGTCCGCCGGGTCTAGTCCGTTTTGTCATCCCTAAATTTTACTCTTTGTTATTTTTCTTTCGTAAGTTTTTTAGTCGTGATTCGATACCATAATATAAACCGTTATTATTACATGTCTTTCTCGTGTTTTTAAGAATAGACCTATGCCTAACAAAATCCGTTTATTTATCCTCTTCTTCGTGTTCCAAGAAAAGAAATAGGTAGGGTTTGGCAGAAAGTTTTTGGTTTAAAACATAATCATTCAATCATATTTATTACTGATTATAAATGTTGTAAGTGTGAACCTCTTGAATTCAGGATAAGAAATCACAAATTTAATGTCTAAACTATTAGACTATTTCCTAACTAGTTCCTAAAATAATCAAACTATAAAAGAGAGGGAACTGAACCACTTTGCTGATTTGCTTTCTTTTTAAAAATTACCTTGAAATAGAAGATGAAATTGTTAAATAATATGAGAGTGAAAAGGTAGCAATGAATAGAGAAGAGAGAGTCTTGTCCCTGCATTGACATGAAGGTTGACAATTAAAAGTTTTTTAAAGAAAAATATGAATCTGCAATCATATGCTGTATGATCAAAGACAAAGATTATGGTTAGAGGAATGAAAAATGGAAGAAATTAAATTAAATTAAATTATGTTGCTTGATTTTGGCTGCCAATGGTTTTTGGTGCAAGCCGAAGAAGAATTATAAAATTTTATGTAAAAAATACGAGATTTTAGGAGAAAAAAAATAGTTTGCTTATCTTAATTAGGTTTAACACAGGGAGAGTTTAATAAAATAGAGTGAAATTGAAAATGTTAATAATAGATGGAAATATGCTAAACTTTAATAATATTAAATCATATAATGTTGAAGATTTTTTTTCATAGTTGTTCGAACTAAAATGATTTATCGAACTAGAAATTGAAAAATAACCCGTCATACATAGACATTATTTTAATAAAATATGTTTAATTGTATTACAAAAGACAACCTGAACTGAAATATTTGTTATTTTTATTCTTAAAGTTAATAGTTTATATATATATATATATATATATATATATATATTATGAAGTTATAGTATTATGTTTCTTTAATGTTATATTTGATTAATTTAATAATTTAGTAACATGGATTTGATCATAAAGTAAAATATTCTAATACCTTATAATTTAAATTCCAGCCCATGCCAGTTTTTTAAAATTGTAAATAAATTTGGGTTATGATATATTAATAATCCTTTTTTTAATAACCGTTCAATAAGTATCTTTAAATTTTTTATATTATTATTTTTTTTACTTTCTTTTTTATCATTAATTAAAAAAATATATTTAAAAGTTATCTATGAAATGTTTAAAAAAATTAGAGTATGAACAAAACTTTCCCCACCGTGAAAACAGTACAGTGTTCCTCTCTCTTGCTTGCACGTGATTCGTACCATTTTCACTTATCCTGTCTCTCGCACTCACACCTTTATATACATATATATATATATATATATATATATATATATATATATATATATATATATATATATATATATATATATATATATATATATATATATATATATATATATTAATATCATAATTAAAATCTCAAAATATACTATGGATCGATTTGAAAGTTTTGAAATATAAGTTAGATTAAAAAAAAATTATAACCTAAATTAAATTAAATTTTTTATTTTCGAAATACCAATAATAAAAATATTTTAATAAATAAGTTATGAATCAATACATATATAAAAATATAACAGCATATTAAATATAATATATTATGAGTCCTACTTATTTATAAATTATTCCATTTTTCTACTTTTTATCTAATATAGAACTTTAAATTTACACTTAAATTCTTAACTTAACCTAAACAAATTTAGATGAGTTCAAATTAAACTAATACATAAATTTATCGACTATATATTTTATAAAATAATAATTTTTAAATAAAATAAAATTAGTATTATTTTCTCATAAAATATATATATATATATATTATAAATTAATTTGATTTTAATAAATATCAAATTAAATCTTTAATAATCATTTATTTTAATATCTAATGATTAATATTAATTATTATTTTAAATTAATAAATTATTAATAAATAATAATAATAATGAAAAATAAATTTGTAATTTTTATTTTGAGATTAAATAAATATATTTTTTATAATTTATATATTAAATTATTATACCTTAAATTAAAATAAATTTTATTAATAAAATGTAAATTTTAAATATATTTTTTATTTAAATATTTTTTTAATTAATTAATTTGGTATAGATATATTATTATTTTAAAAAATAATAAATAATGATGATCAGAGTAAAACTTTTAGTGATTTAAAAATATAAGAGTGATGGGACTATAATTTATTTATTTTTACCTAAGCTTGACTGCACCGCATGTTTTCACAATTGTAATTATGAAATTATAAGATTATGTCTCTTTACTGTTATATTTATTTAATCTTATAATTTAATAACATGGATTTTATCATAATATTTAGAGTAAATTATACTAACACCTTATAAAATTCTCTGAAATTCCAGCACATCCCAGTTTTTTGAAATTTTGACACAAAACTCCTTTATTGTGAAAACAGTACAGTTGTTCCTCTCTCTCGCATCACACGTTACTCATACCATACCACTTCACTTATCCAATAATGTCATGGTTTCTCTCACACTCCCACCTTTTTCTCCATTTCTTACAATTTTCTTTCCTCTTAATTTTTATTTTTTTCTACCATACTTTGGTAGTTTTCCGTGCATCGATTATTAATGCATTTGAATACTTTTCCCTTGCTCAACAGGAGAAGTAACACAAAAGGGCATATTTTTAATTTTTTATGCAATATCTTCTAGTGAAACTCATTGTACCACTCAATCAAATTTTATACAATATCCTCAACTGAAACTCATGCTTACTATATGTATGTTCTAATAGAAGTAGTTGGTTACTGGATTTGTTGGACAAAGTTTTCAGAAAAGCTGTCATATTGTGAATGGTTGCTCTCCTAGTGCTTTTTGAATTTGCTTTGTCCAAGTTAATGGTTCAAATTTGTGTTGTTTGGGCCAAAGACATGATGCATGGATGGAAAAAACATTGTCTTCACTGTGTATAATAATAAACCATGATGATGGTAGATAGAGGTACAAAAATATAAATAAAGGACGTGATATTAACCCAATTTCCAACAGATTGAGGCTTCCTATTTAAGAATTAGACATAGTGAGAGTGATTGCGCAATTATTGGCCATTTTTCTATAACTCTTTTCATTGCTAAACCCACCATCCTTTCGGGATTATATGAAAAGTTTTCATTTTTAAGATAAGAGAAAAATGAAATAGAAAACTGTATACCTATGTTTAGAAATGAAAACAATTGGTGTACGAGAAGAGAGAAAAAAAAAGGTGTTATTATTATGGAAATACACAGTAGACACCTTTTATTTAAAGACCTCAGGCATAAATTTCGTGTAAGATAAGCAATTAACTTTTCATTGCTGTTGCAATCACTGTAACCCAATCAGTAAGAACTCAATTTGAACAAGATACCTGTTTCAATGAATATTTATTTATTTTTTATTGCGTGAATATATTATTTACCGTCCCATTATATAAATGGATAAAAGATGAATAGTTGATCTTAATACAAAGTTAATAAAAGAAGATTAAGGGGTAGAGAGTATTTGAGAAAAATATATGGTAATGCTTACGGCACAGTAGATGGAGGTGGCACCTAACAGACATTAGAAGGGAAAAGGAAAACATGTGCGATGAATGTGGGAATAAGAAATGGTGAGATATAGAAAGAGAAACATAGGTTGGGGGAATTGAAGAATTAGGAGTTGTAGGTCACCTCTCTTGCACCTCATAACAGCACAAAATCAAACCCATAAATATTAGTCAAAACCCTAAATTAAGTACCACACTCTCCAAACTCCTTCACCGTCCATATATACTATACACACACCACCTTCCCTCTCTCAACTTCAAAACCTGTTTAGATTATAACAACCACTTCACTTCTTCCTGCATCAACTCACACCCTTCAACCCTTCAACAAACAATGTCATCTCGCATTGTTGCGGACAATTCATTACCGCTCACCAATGCCACCACGCCTTATTTTGACTTAATGGAAGTCGACCACCTCACGCGCCGCCCCGTCTCCGTCGAGATGCCCACCCTCGGACAGCTCCTCAAGAACGTCGGAGATGTCAGGAAGGAAGCCACCGGCGACGGAAGCGAGACGCCGGTGCATCACGCCCTCGATATAGTCGACGCCCCTGGAATTGAGCCTCGCTCGCTGCCCTTCGTCCTCTCCTTCAGCAACCTCACTTATAGAGTCAAGGTGCGCCGCAAAATCAGTCTCTCCTCGATGTTCCCCCGCCGTGGCAGCCACCACCACGGCGCGTCCGCGGTGGCGGAGGGTCCTGCTGTTGGTGAGAACATGTTCAGGCGGACGAAGACGCTGCTGAACGACATCTCCGGCGAGGCGCGGGACGGGGAGATCATGGCGGTCCTTGGCGCCAGCGGTTCTGGAAAGTCGACACTAATCGACGCGCTGGCGAACCGAATCGCCAAAGGAAGTCTGAAAGGCACTGTGGCGCTGAACGGCGAAACGCTGGAATCGAGTCTTCTGAAGGTGATTTCAGCGTACGTGATGCAAGACGACCTACTCTTCCCCATGCTCACTGTGGAAGAGACTCTGATGTTTGCGGCGGAGTTTCGACTACCGCGCACGCTCTCCAAGTCAAAGAAAAACGCTCGCGTGCAGGCTCTCATCGACCAGCTAGGTCTTCGGAACGCAGCGAAAACAGTCATCGGAGACGAAGGCCACCGCGGAGTCTCCGGCGGCGAGCGTCGGAGAGTTTCCATCGGCATCGATATTATCCACGACCCGATCCTGCTGTTCCTGGACGAGCCAACCTCGGGACTTGACTCCACGAGCGCGTTCTTAGTGGTGAAGGTTTTGCAGAGAATCGCACAGAGCGGAAGCATCGTAATCATGTCCATTCACCAACCGAGTTACCGAATCCTGGGGCTTCTGGACCGCATGATCTTCTTATCGCGCGGGCAAACCGTTTACAGCGGTTCACCGTCGCAGTTGCCGGTTTTCTTCTCCGAGTTCGGTCATCCAATTCCGGAAACCGATAACAGAACGGAGTTCGCGTTGGACCTGATTCGCGAACTGGAAGGTTCACCCGGCGGAACGAAGAGCTTGGTGGAATTCAACAAGTCGTGGCAGAGCATGACGAAGCACAATCAAACGACGACGGAGGAGGAACGAAACGGCTTGTCGTTGAAGGAAGCAATAAGCGCTAGCATTTCGCGGGGGAAGCTAGTTTCAGGCGCCACCAACACCAACCCGAACCCGTCGTCTATGGTGCCAACTTTTGCCAATCCGTTTTGGGTTGAGATGGCGACGCTGTCGAAACGGTCGTTTTTGAATTCGAGAAGAATGCCGGGGTTGTTTGGGATTAGATTGGGTGCGGTGATGGTGACGGGGTTCATTCTTGCCACCATGTTTTGGCAACTCGATGACTCTCCCAAAGGAGTGCAAGAGAGGCTCGGATTCTTCGCCTTCGCCATGTCAACCACTTTCTACACCACCGCCGACGCGCTTCCCGTGTTCCTCCAAGAACGCTACATTTTCATGAGGGAAACTGCTTACAACGCATATCGTAGATTCTCGTATTTGGTCTCGCATGCGCTCGTTTCGTTGCCAGCACTAGCGTTCCTCTCGTTGGCTTTCGCGGCGACCACGTTTTGGGCCGTGGGCCTGGATGGCGGAGCTTCGGGCTTTTTGTTTTATTTCCTGATTATTTTTGCTTCGTTTTGGGCCGGGAATTCATTCGTGACGTTCCTTTCGGGTGTGGTGCCTCACGTGATGCTGGGTTACACTATCGTGGTTGCGATTCTGGCCTATTTCTTGCTCTTCAGTGGATTCTTCATCAACAGGGACAGGATTCCCAGTTACTGGATTTGGTTCCACTACTTGTCGTTGGTGAAATACCCCTACGAAGCTGTTTTGCAGAACGAGTTCGATGACCCCGTTAAGTGCTTCGTCAGGGGGGTCCAGATCTTCGACAACACCCCTCTTGGCTCGCTCCCTCACTCTCTCAAGTTGAAGCTTTTGGACAGCATGAGCAACACCCTCGGTATGAACATCACCAGCTCCACCTGTTTGACCACCGGTTCCGACATTTTGCAGCAGAACGGTGTGACCGACTTGACCAAGTGGAACTGCTTCTGGATCACAGTCGCTTGGGGATTCTTCTTTAGATTCCTCTTCTACTTCTCCCTCTTGCTCGGAAGCAAGAACAAGAGGACCTGATCATCATCATCATCATCTTCATCTTCATCTTCATCTTCATCTTCTAAGATGAGTTTGAATTTGTGCATCTTTTTTTGTCTTGTAATTTCTGTATTCTATTTCTTCTGTTCTTGGCATGTGCAGTGGTGGCAGTTGGCAATCGGGTAAAAAAAGTTGTAATCTTGACTTGCATAAATTACTTAATTATTTGCTTACGACAAATACTCATCTGTTTCCAGTAAAGTTTTCATCTAACATGTTACCAAAAGCCAAAGCTTTTATTTCATACTCAATGCATCAATTTTTGCCCTTTACTACATCTCTCCGCCCCCAACAACAACTACAATCAAACACACAAAAACAAAATAATAGAATATAATCTAATATTTACTTCTATTCCACCTTAATTTTTTTCATCCTTTCAAATTTAAGACAAATGTAACTTGTTACAGCCACAGAAAATATAAAAATCTATTAATCTACACTCCATTGTTAGTTAATTAACTTAACACGGAGACATAAAGACAAAAAATAAAAAAAATTCAAACTTGGTTGCCCGAAGTACCCTGAGAAAAAAAACTTATAACTTAATGTTTTGTATCTAATTGTTGAGAATTCTCGCCCTTCTTAACATCCTCATAAGTATCCAACATCTCAATCAAACTCTTAATTAATTGATATATATATATATATATATATATATATATATATATATATATATATATATTTTATAAAATGAATTAAAAAGTTCTACGACGATAGTTTTAGACCTCAATTATTATATAAATAATTTCTTATTGACCAAAATTTAAAATCCAATAATAATATAACAAAAATATGAAATCCATATCAAGAGAAAAAACTTAATCGAGATCAAATCGACTCATTTTTTTACATGTAAACTTTTAACATTTTATGCATGTGTTGATAAAAGGCATTTTTTGTAATGATACTTTAAGTATTTGTGCGACCTCAACTAAAATATTGTAGTTTCATTTCTATTTGGACATTCGAACAGTCAAACACTTAATTAATTTTTATTTATCTATTATTATATTATATCATTCAGTCACTTGTCTATTATTTTCATCTTACCTACGTAATATTAAAAAAAAATTAACATTTGGAATTAATGTCAATTAACTTATAATATAAATGATAAGGTAATATAGAAAAATATAGTATTTGTAATTGAATTAATTTACTTATAATATAATTTATAAGATTTTAAAATTAGTAAAACCAGAATAATATTTAAAAACATTTTTAATAAAATAAAACTATTTTTCTAAAAAATATTATTCAAACATATTTATTTATTTATTTATAATTTTATCTAGTCATTTTAATATAGTATTTTTAAAACAGTACTTAAAAATTTGTTACGTTAACTCTACATATTGTGATTAAAAGAAACCAATCCTTGGCATATGAGCTGATATGTTTTTGAATAAGTGAAAAGATTTTTTTTTGACAAAAATGCTGATAATATACTTACTAATACAATTTTTTTTTCAAGTAATCTATTTCTTGTTTATTAAAAATATAAAAATTATTATAAAATTATGAACAAAAAATGTTTTTATTTTTCCTATAACTTGATATATATATATATATATATATATATATATATATATATATATATATATATATATATATATATATATATAATTTAATCATACGAGTCATATTTTTTTTTCTTTCTTTCATTTTCCTAGTATCACTTCTTTTATACTATATATGTTGAAACGTATGAAAATATATTCCATAGGAGGAGAGTAGGAAGAAATAAGTCGTGGAAATAGCAGAAATTTTTAAAAATAATGAAATAAATATTTTAATTCATAATACTTCAATAAGAAAGATTAAAGTAGTTGATGTTTAAAGAAATAAAGTTATTCTAGGGACGTGTATGAAATGAATTTATTGATTGTGCGCGTAAAACAACTAATAGCTGCATTGGGGGTTTAAGAATTTCCGTCCCACAAAACCTAACTATTTTTGGAACGTACTAGCAAGCGTGTAAAACAAAACATAGTTGAAAATAAAGTGATTTGGTTTTGGTCAAACAAACAGTGAAGTGATTGTAAAGAAATGTGAAATGGAAAGAGAAACAAACATACCATGAAGTGAGCCAAAGAAGAAACAGGAAAAGGGCGGTGGGGATGAGTCAATCGGGCAACAAGTTCCGGCGGTGTCCCTCAAAAAGAGCGAATCAATGCCTGTTTCTTTCTATTTATGAGAATTGAATTGAAGGAGAAGAAACATAAATGGTAGTGTTAGTGTTACCACCACTATCTCAAATTGCTTTCACCTGTTCTAACTAACCATTGTGTTGTCTGGTCACAATAAACGAAGATAAACTGCGTGATAATCAATAATTGAAATAAACAATAGTTTATAAATGTGGAGGAACTAATTCTTTATTTTAAAATGCTAACAAAATTAGTTTAAAGATAATATTATAATTTAATTATCTAAAACTACAACAGTCATAATTAAAATATATTAACATATTATATGTTGTTAATAGCTTTTTTACACAATATATTTATAATTTAAATTATTAATGAAAATACATCATGTATCCTTTAGAAAGGAAGTAAAATTTTCCAAATAATCGCAGACAGATTTCTTAAAATATAATGTTTCACCATAATTTTTCAAAAGTGTACTTGTAGTAGTATCTCCAAGAATGAAGTCTCGAAAAAAAAAGTGGAAATGCATTGTCATTTTTAAACTTCAATAATTATAATTTGGTTCATAGAAGAATTCGGGTATGCACCGTTAAATTTAAATAGCCAAGTATATAAATGAAAAAAAGTTATCAACCAATAGCTTTATTAGATGTAATCAACCTATTGAGAGCATGTTATTCTTTTTAATGTAAAATATGGATATTTGAAATTGTCTCAAGTACACAAGACATTGGGGGTACAAAATTGAAATGGAAATTTGGGGGCTATTATAACTATTTTGAGAACTAAATTACACTATGGTCCTGCCCTTCCCCAGGAAAGAATGGTAAGCAACCAATCAATCAATGTATGTTTATAAGGCCGTGTGTATGTATGTACGCGTGAATTCATTAGAACGTTAGGCGGCTTCATATATTTTTCTTCCCATATTGTATATTCCACTTAACTAATCCGAGGTTTGAGACTAATAAGTTATAGGACCACCATCACACAGCCTTTTCTACTGTAGCTACACATCTCATTTTGAGCTTCAGAAACAATAAACTCGGCTACAAAGGTGCTCGTGCTAAAAAATCATTAACAGCAAGATTGGCATCTCCGTGCGCAACAGCATCCTCTGGCTCTGGCATACACAGAGTAGATGCTGAAACCTGCAAATTAAACATGTCTCATCAAATCTCCGTAACATAACTTAATCAGGTTAAGAAAACATTTTTAGAAGTCGACTAGTGGCTAGGAATTTCTAGATTTATACAGGTTAAACAGTTCATGGAGTAATTCCAAATCAACTCTCAAAATGTCGCAGAAGGCAATAAAATGATTCAAAGCAACACTACCATAAATAGAAGATGAGTGACGATTCAACAAATCAAAATACGTTAGGGAACAAAAAAAATCTCGACAATGGGACAGTGAATGTGATGGATAGAGTTCAAACATACTTTTGTATCAAGTAGCATATCTCCGTTATTATCAGTAATTATGTTGGCACCGTGTGCTTTCAACCATTCCGAACACTCTTCCAAAGCATCTGTATCTCTTTCATCACTTACTCCAACCCCAGTTGAAAACCCAAGAACCTGAGAAATGTACGAGACAGGTAGAGTTGGCCGATATGACCGGCACATGCAGTTCACAGCCTTATAACGCATCTTTTCAACATAGAGATCTGTAGAAATTCAAAAATTCATTTCAGTTTATCCCCTTAATACAGTGAAAAATGTTAATTACAAACACTCACCCATAAGGCAGGTGTTTAAGTTAGGAGCTGCTTTGTACAGTCTAAAGAATGCAACATAATTTCCTGAAGTTACAGCACCACGAACAGCTAAGGCATGCTTTACAGCTTCATCCTTTTTTGCTTCGCAAGATAACCTGGTATTAACAAACATTAAACATTCAGATTTGAGACCTTCTACGAATAATGACAAAATAATTGACACAAGGCTATAATTATACTATTATTAAAATAATTCGTGGAAAAATATCTACGTACAGACATAGAAAGACTTGGCATATAAATCCAATCTCTATTTTGCTCATCAGCACCTGAGAATCACTGATTTGCACCCAAGGTCCCAAAATAAGGAAGGATCCACATTGACCGGGAGAGGACAACTACGCCCACAAACTTCTAATATATTTTAATTATAGATGTGTAATTGCAAATTATCTTTATAATTTATGTTATAGTAAAAAGTTAATTCAGAATATAACTATTGACTCCATAAATTTATTCCTTTTATTTTCTCTTAATTAAACATTTTTAGTATCATCTATTGTGTTTTTATTTTTTTATTTTTTTTACATACCATCGTTGCAATTAACCAAAAGTAGTAAACTTTAACAGTGCATATTATAATAATAATAATAATAATAATAATAATAATAATAATAATAGCACAAAATTCTGATAGGTGAAACACAATATAATTATCAAAGCATGTTTCTGGGAATATTACTCCCAACAATTGAATCTAATATCTTTCAACAGTGAAGATTTTAATAATAAAATAAAAAAATTCTGATAGATGAATCACACGGCATTATTCACTTCTACCAAATCTTTACAAAAAAAGAATCAAGTTAGCTGGGAAGTATGGGGCAAACCTTGCCATTGATGAAACGAGATCTCTGTTATTGTTTGAATGCATTATAACACAAAGCAAGTTGTAAGCAGCAAATTCCATATCGGACCCCTCAATGCCTTCAGCATAAAGAGTTTTTAACTGAGATTGGCACTGCATTCACACAAATAACATCAATAGCTAAACTCCATTTACAAGTTGAATAACATCCTGAACTTCTATAATAAATCATTCCCATTTCAAAACAAGCAAAAATAATACCCATATTTCCTCTTTGATTAAAAATTATAATGAACTATTTCTTAGTATTGACCGCCTTTATGTCCTGTTTCGTAGAGTAGCAATAGGACAGATGGAAAATAAAAAGATGAGTGGAAATAGGTGACAAATAGGGTAAAAATTAAAAGGTACTAAGTTGAAGAGAAATAAAAAAGAGAAGATGAGAGATACAGAAAACCGAAACAGGTGATAAATACAGTGGAGAAGTATTGATATAAATTAAAATCTCTCCTCCCATTTTTTCTTTCCTGTCACACAAGCTAAATTAAATCTGTTCTCCCTATTTCCATTCCATCCCCTCCAACCAAAAACCCCATTAGTGAAAAATCTTGATCTTAGAAGAAAAACAGATGCATAACCAGAAAAAAAAAAAGTAACCAAAGCCTATAACGAATTAAAACATTGCAGTTTCTTTTCTTAAAATAATATCCAGAACTAACCTGATTATATTCTGGCAGGTCCCCAAATTCCACTGCCAGTCGGGCATGTGTTTCATACACCTGAAGCATTATTTCAAGAGTTATAAAGGGAAAAAAGTTGGAAAATATATTTTAGTGTTTACAGAATATACAAATGACCACCACAAAAGCCTTTCGCAATGTTATATCAAATGATATTTTTATGTTCTATCAGAAACGAATTCTGATATGCAGAACACGTTCAAATAAATAAAATATAAGTTGGGGACGACATGCTTTTAATAATATAATATATCTTTACCTTAATACAAGTATGGAAATTTAAAACTCAAAGAGGTTCCTGAACGATTGATAAGTAGCATAGCCAGAGAGATGTGGCGGAAATGGGAAATCATTAAATTGAAAAAAAAAAGAAAGAATAACCATACTAGAATGCTATCAATCAGAAAAAATACCTTGACTGTTAATTGATTGCGTATTCGTTGAACAGTTAGGTCTTGGCGAATGGACTTTAACTGGTCACATTTATAAAGGTAATTCTTCTGAGAATTCTGAACCATCAATAGCGCTTTCTCAAGAACCTCTTCAGGTCTTACCTGTACGTACATAGCATTTTAATAAGGTTCATAGTCCAGGAGTGAAGGAAATAGGGCAGAGAAAAATAGCAGCACACAATTTAAATTCCTGAGAGGAGACATTACAGTGGCAGGATCAGGTGCAGAAGTTAGGCGCAGGTAACGCTTTTCAATTTCCTGGCAAGTACCCTTCACAGTTAGAGCATCCCAGTCAATATCCTCAACAGCTTTGCTGGCACCATCCTCAAAGCTTTTGCTTAAAACCAAGGCACCAGCCCTTCTATTATACAAGTTTCCAGCTCCAGCATGCTTTTTCCTTGAGTTATTATTTTCTGTTCGATGCCCTTGTAAATCAAATCTCTTGGAACGATTTTCTCGTCTCTTCCTTTCCTCTGGTGAATCACTAAAAGCCATTGCAGCAGAATAATATGCCGTCAAACTTTGTTCCTTATCACTATCACTAGATGCATCACCATTTTCAGAAACAATAGAAGCATCTGTAAGACGCTGCTTCTTAAATGGCCTTTGAAGAGCCTTACTAGACATTCTATGCAGTAATGGAGAAAATTTAGTATTCCTCAACCCGTCCTCCTTGCTTTCTTTGTTTTCCACCGCCACCTGCACGTCATTTAAATAAGTAATGAAACATCCATTCTTTGCAACTTATTGGCACACATACTTCACATTCTCAACATGATTGTACTTTGAAAGCTCTGTTTGGATGGCAAAGAACAATTAAAAGGCCCTTCAGAAAAGAATAAGGAAGGTACAGACACAAAACAAATTGAAGTTAGCTTGTATGTGTTTGTAAACAAGGGTACCGAAGTCTAGACACAACATGGAATAGAAGTTACGCTATTCCATAACCCATAAGATAAAAATGTCATGAAATGAAGACAAACCAATAATAAAAAATAGATTAAAAACAGGAAAAACGAAAAGTAAACTGCAGTTCCACTCCATTTGTGACAAGAAAGCAACAAGAATAAAACCAGCTAGAACCTTGAAAAATTACTTGAACAAGCAAATAAATACCTTTCTGTCCTTTGCATTGGGTACCCAACTACTGTATTTTACAGTTTCATTATTGATTAACACTGGATTGTCAACTGGCTTCTCCTCTGGCATTGGCTCCCACCTACTTTTAGATCGTCTAGGACTTTTTTTATACTTTGGCAATAAAGAATCCTGGGCTGATGAGAGTGAACTACTGTATGCAATATCAACAAATAATATTTGTCATATAATATTGCATCACTAATTAAAATAATATTTGGTAATTAAACTATAATTTAATGTTTACAATAATACATACGAAACAGAGGTGCAATGCATCATATTTGTATGAAAAGAATGAAAATGAGGATAAAATTCTCAAACATATAGGTACCTATCATAAAGTTGAGTTAAACTGGCACAAATTGATTTCAAAATAAATCCACAAGTTGCTATGCGCAATAGCAAACTTACATGTAAAAAGACAAATTCCACTTCTAAAATAATTGTTATGTTAATAAATTGATTCTCTACTATTTCACAGCATAGATCATTACATAAATAATGGTCATAATTCATGAAACAATATATATGCTCTATCCAAAACTAAAGTTATAAAATATCAATTTTTAGAACAGGAAAGGTTCTAAAAATCGTTTAGGCTTGCATGAAACGGCTTCAACAATAAAAAACAAACACTGGTTTATCCATTTTATCCTCAAGAAATATTTCCCTCCAAAAACATGAAGAGTTTCACCATTGACCAACCAGGCCACCACCTTTCCAAGATTCAAAATCTCTATTTAGCCACTAAAGTAATTTCACAGTGAGATTGGGGGAGATCGGTTGTATGTGCATGAGTTGATGGTGGTTAGGGGCTATGGGCATTGAATCTAGGATACCCGTGGCTGGGGGATTCTAGGATGATCTGAAATCATTTGGTCGTAAAAAAAAATAAAAAATAAAAAATTATATATATATATATATATATATATATATATATATAAAATAAATGAAAAATCAGCTGATGGGGTACTATTGATGATCTCAAATTATCGGTTGTGTATAAAGGGGCATCTCTTCTCATACTAATGGGGTAGTATTGATCCCAAAAAACCTATCACATCAAACAAAATTTTTAATAGTTTCTATAATTATTTTAATGAAGTATTGTCATTTTACTTGTATAATATAATCTAGTTACTTTTCTTTAAAATTAATTACACTCAATTTTACATATTTTGGCCCTCCCAAACACAAGAAATAAGCTACTTTCATCCTCACTTATATATTCCAGGTAAAACCAAATAGAAGGATAGATAGAAATTGATCAAACTATGAAAATTAGCAAAAACCAGAAACACCTGAAATTTAGACTAGGAACAAGAATGACATGTCAACATACAAAAGCAAGAGGTAAACAGGAAACATCATACTCTTTATTTATCACATCTGCATCTGGCATTGGGAAAAGTGGTTCCATATCCCAATTTCTTGTGTTGAGAGTACCATCAGCTGTTGCCTTAGTGATCATCTGCAAAGGAGGTTAAGGAATCTGATAAGATTATTGAATCAAACTGACAAACAAAATCAAGAAAGCAACTTAAATGATTGATGCCAATAAAGATCAATAAAAAGGACTAGTAGACAGTGGGTAAATCTAAATATTTCTTATTCACAACAGTGAAAACCATTACATGGATCTACCAGGAAGGTGCATTAGCTAGTAGCCTAGTACTTAGGTGGAAGTTGACTAGAATTATGAGCATGGGGACTGAAAATATGTCCATGATTCTTCTCCAAATTCAAATATCGTAAGTGAAAAACAAGTAAAAATATATTCAAATTTTCAGACACACAGCACCAGAGAATAATTGTGTCCCTCTGCAGGCAAACACTGCAATCAATTTCAGTAACCCTCTTGCACGCATTGGAGGTGCAGGAGAGCAAGGACTTTAGAAGAAATTGTGAAGAGAGATCTCATGGTAAAAAATATTCCTAAAGCTATGGCTTTTTAGTGTGCTGAATGGCATCATGTGATCCGTGTAGCTGTCCTTACCAAAGACTTTGGAAGAAGTCATCAGGCGAGATTTCATGGTAAATAATATTCCTAAAGCTCTGGTTTTTAACCACACTGAATAGCATCATGTGATCTAGGTAGCAAACTTTACCTAATGAGATAAAGCTTTGTTGTTGTTCTTGCATACTTTGACAAAACACTAATTAATGGAGCAATGAGAAAAATTCAAATTGGGTTCTGGTGGGTAATCTGAAGTTTTAGCAATTTACATATAAAAGAAAATTACAATACCAACCAAGGAAGTGATAGCATACTTTCATAGAACCAAGTTAACACCAGTTGGTTGCTTTTTGAAGAGAAAATTTACACTACATTGTGAACATGTATAAAGAGTTGGCAGCGCATGTAAAGAGTCTGAAGATTGTCAGTATAAAGGTTTTTATAATATCAACCCAACCACCTAGATCCTTTTAAAGTCAATAATCTATAGCATGATCAGATGACAATGTAAAAGGCATCCATACTATCGATGCATTCTAATTAAATTCTCTATTAAAGTATTTCATAGGAAAGCACTATCTGTGTATGCATATATTATTTATTACATTTAAAAATCTTGTTAATTGAGAACAATGAGTATAAATGTGTGGGTGTGTCTATACACAAATGTCATCTATCACTTACCATTAGCTCTAAGTGTCAATTTTTTTTCTCAATGTCTCTAGGGCCAATTAAAAAAAATAAAGGCAGCCATATAAAAGGTTATTTACAAACAGACCCTGTTCTGTTAGATCCTAAGGTTATTTACACACATGAATCATCTATGGTTTCAAGAGCATCGTAAGTGTGCTTCAAATGTATCATGTGCCATAATGCAAAAAAGCTGCAAAACTAGAAGGGAGGGACAAATATATCTAGCAAAACTAAAACTAAAACTTCACCTCCTTCATGACAGCCTGACATGCAGCCATTTGGTTATCATCTTTACACCGAGCCAAAGCTCTTTCAACATAGCCACGTAACGACTTGGGAAACATACCAGGCTGTGAGCAAGAATAGTTCGGTTTGAAAAGTTAATAAACAAAGTAATCATCATTTGGTTGCAATATCAATTTCCTCCATAAACAACCTGCATTTAATAAATTCCTTGAAATTCAAGTGTTAATTTAAAATTTTGTTCTTGGCTCCAATTCGTGTTTTTTCACTAGTCACAAATTAAGGTTAGTTATCACTTTAGAATAAAATATTGCTATTCTCTAAAACATTAGCTTTTAACCTTGATGAATTGCGTCTTATAATCTAAAGCAGATCTCACCCAGTGGGATAAGGCTTTGTTGTTGTTAGAAGAAAGTAATATTATAAACCAGACAGTATTTAGTATGCCTACTCTATGTTAGCATAAGAAATGGTAAGGGAGTTTCCCTTCACAGATAAGTTAAGGGATTAGGTAGCTCGGCTGTGTTCACCAATTTATTTGTTCTTAGTGTGTTTCCTCTTATCCTCCTAACCCTTATAAAAAATATTTTCCTTAACTTATTTTTTTCTTATATAGCAAAATCTCCCCAAACATAAGCAAGTCCAAACACTTGGTTTCTGTCAACTTGTAGTACAATGTTATGTTTTCTATATCTTTATGTTTCGTTTAAAGTGAGTAATGAAATAAACTAACTAAACTGTAAGGATGATAATAACCTAGCATGCATTATGTAATGTAAAAATTCATTGAATATCATGTTCAAGTATCACCTTAAGTATAGAATTAGCAGCATCATTAGATGATACTTTCTCAGTTGGCTTCGGTAATGAAACAGCAATATACGCAGGTTTTGGTGCTGAACTGATTGTAGAGCTATCTTTTTCGACTTTGGGCTGTCCAAATGTCAAATTTGAAGCAATTCGTGGATTTGTAGGAATTTGAAGTTTGCTTACCCGTTTTGCATCCGGAGATGGAGCACTTTGTACAGGTGCCAGATTCACCTGTTGAGAGGGAAGAGGCAGCGGAGGAGGAGGAGGAAGGTACAAATTGGTTCCTTGTGAAGACACAGTCTTCTGTTGATCCTGAAATGTATCATAAGAAGATTTTAAATCTAAAGGACTTTGATAGTTTGGTTGAATAGGATTAGTTTGTTGTATCTGAGAACTTTGGGGCCCATGTTTCCAGTAACCATCGTGATCACCACTATTAATTGCAGCAGGCTGACCATAAAAAAATGAACATGAAATTAATAAGTTAACTAAGCTAGACTTCGCAAAAAAAAAAAAAACTAACCAACCAAATTCAACAATCTCATAAAACTGAATCCAAACAAGATTTAGATATCCAATGTACAAAAAAATTATTGAAATTTGAATTCAACAAAAACCATAACCAAAGCAACTTGACATGTATGAATAACAATTTAACTGCTCTGTCAAGTCAAATATTCTGACTAGTAATAATTTTTCCACGATTTTGGTTGAAAGTAATCTCCAAACCTGAAAAGAAGGTATGGTGGAAGAGCTGGACTCTTGCCTCCAAAATGGTGGATATGATTGTGGAGGCTGGGTATTTGGAGTCGCATAACTACTAGTAACTGCAGGAATAGGGCAACCCAAAGCAGATGAACCTGTGACAGATAAGTTCTCTGTCCCTGGTGCACAGCTGACCTCTGTTTGGTTGTAGTAGTCTGCCCACTGTTTGTATTGTTGCTGATATGGCATTGAAGTAGTGGCAGTACCAGAACTATAAGAACCACTGGAATCTGGGGTGTAATTAGTATATGGATGAGAAGAGTAAGTGCCATTGTTCCACACGGTCGCTTGATTTCCATATCCGCTGCTGTTTTGGTAACCTCCAGTAGTCTGATAATCAGCAGGATTGTAATAAGTGCTTGAATAACTTGCGGATCCAGCATAAGACCCAGTATTCTGAAAGGAGGAAATAGGCTGATAAGGAGCACCTGAGTTTTGATATGCTCCTACAGGCTGTGAATAGGTATGATTAGGTTGCTGCTGATAGTTGTTATAGTAGCCCGAGTATCCCATGCTGCCATAACCATATGGATTAGAAGAACTTGGGTATGATGCGTATGCATTGTAATCTTGGGTAACATTAGCTGTTCCCAAATTTGATGAATTACCAGCAACTGATGATACATTTTGTCCATCTTGAATGCTTCTTGCAGGCTGCTGTGGATGTTGATCATACTGGTAGGTTGGATTAGAATAGATTCCATTTCCTGTAGAGCTGTGAACAGTCCATGATGCAGCTTCAGACCCAGTTGTAGTGGGAGCATAGGCACTTGGATGGTGTTGGCTAGCATCAACGTGCCGGTTCTACAAAAGAAAGAGATTGTGAGTTATGCTTTACGTGATCGAAGTACACTCAAGTGAACCATGCATGCATTGACTAATACAAGTATGAGATGGCCTTCAGGTAAAAAACATCCAAAAACAGAAAAATTCAGGTGTAGAAATTAAGTAGGTATCCATTTGCACCGATAGCCTAGACAGTACAGAAAGAGAATAAGCCTTAGCAAACATTTTTTTCCCTAAAAGACAAGTCATGCATAGAACAGGCTCAGAAATTTCTCAAGCAAATTCTCATGATTTATGAACCATTGAAAATATCAAAATAATGATTGCAGCAGGTTCTAAGTATCCAGTAACATATGGATCACAATTTTAAATATGAAGAATGCTTAAATGAAATCAGTATATCACATTTTCAAACTCATTGAATAAACAACACTTTTGATTCACAACCTTTACCGTGAAATTAAGCATCTAAACTACTTAATTTTTAAGACACTGAATCACGCTTCATGGATTACCTCGAACAGATGTGGCTCTGGGGGAGCTAAGGTCTCAGTATTACTTCCTTCGTTCGCCATCTCGCCGAAACCCTGATTGAACGAAAAAACACAAGCACATAATTAATAATTAAGTCCGTCCAAATCCGAGAAAAACCCTAATAAATTGATAAGGAATCGCAACAGTGCAAACCTCGGAATCTCAGAAAATGAATGGGGAAAAGTTCATTACGGTGAAATCAGGGTAGCAGTTAGGAATAGGAGGAAGCAGAAAAGCAAATTGGGGAGAAGAAGAAAAAATAATGAAAAGCAGAAAAGAAAAACAAGTAGAAAGATAGAAAGATATCTACGAAATATTAAGACGGAGAATAAAAAGATTGAAAAAGTAAGAAGAGGCAGGACTTTGCAGTAAAACGTATAAAGGGGTTACAGGCGAAAACGCCGGGGGAGAGAGATTGGGAAAAGAGAGGAAAATTGCGTTGGGTTGTGTTTGTGAGGGAAAAAGTTGGAAGAAATAGAATAGAGAGAGGGACTGTGCATTATAATAATCCTCCAATGGCGGTACAGCAACGTTCATAATAATAATCCCAAATACTATATTATCTTAATCATTAATTAACTATTTTCTGTCAATAATTATTATTTTTGTTCAGCTCTTTCATCCTGAAATTTGGCTTAAGGGTTTGGTCCTCAAATATGAAAATAATAATAATAATAATAAATCTCTAAACTTGAAAAAAAAATATAAATTAATGTAAAAGTCTCTGACTTACATAGAGTTAAATTTATAAGCATGGATCACTGTTATGTTTGAATTTTAGTATTTTTTATTAGTCTATTAATTGATAGAATATTCTCAAAACTCTTTTTCTGATATTTTATACGTTAAAAGATGAGTTATTTGACCTGTAACTAACAAGATAATTCAAAATATTCTCTAGTATGTAATATTGTTGTTATTTTGCTAGTTTATTAATAAATATTTTATTATTTCTATATATATAAAAAAACGTTGTCAAAACTACAATTATGGTTAATAAAAGTCAAGTCTAGCAACATAAATTTAATGACAATTCAGCATTGTTAAATGTTTTTTTCTTCCTTGAATTTAGACAGTTATATTTGTCCTTCATTGAAACTAAAATATATGTCCCTCGTTGAAACTAAAAATATATATATTTCTTAATCCCCAAATTTAGAAACAACTCTTTTAGTCATAACTTTTAATTGATTTCTTTTTTGCAATTTAAAGAATATAATAATGGTAGACTTTTAAATTCATATTAATGAATAATATATTAAAATATATTATGAATTGCTTTAATTTCACGAAATTCAATAAAGATCTATTTACATTTTTTTTAGCATTGAAATTCATTTTAAGGACAAATTATTTTGAAGTTTAGAGATTTTATTCCAACATACCTTCTTTTCTTATCTAAGAAAGAAAAATTGTGTCTAAAAACATCGTTAACTTTAATATTTCCATCTCAACTCCCATTTGGTAACATTATTAAACCAATTTCATTAAAACCATTTGTTTTGTTCATTTGAAACAATTTCCTCAATTGAGTAGATCGATATGCACTTGAAGTGAACTTGATTTTTAAATTGCAACACGGTGTTGTTATCGACATTTCCCTTATATTTCCCGATCATCCTCATTTTTTTTTACACCCATGCACCTTAATTGGGACATCTCGTATTATAGTTTTCTAATACATGATTCTATCATTATTCAACAATCAAACTGGTATTTGGAAAACAAGACATAGACTTTTGGGCATAACCCAGAAACCAAAGTAAGGTTGGATTAAAAAGGTATGTTAGAAAGATCAAGTACCTAAATATGGCATGTATAAGAGGTGTAAAATATGGGATATACAAGTAGCATTAATAAGAGACGTAAAATATTAGTGACTGGCCACTATTGGGTGTGATGCAATTAATAGAACCTACGTTGCTTAGAGTTGTATGCAAGAATTCCAACAAAACAACAACGGCCCATGCCTTTTTCCTGTTCTTCTAGATATGCAGATGCACATGATGAAGCATGCAACGGGCAAACAATGCGTTGTACTCTCTTCAACAACCTCACTGTAATGGAATGACAAGAATCATAGCTAAGCAGGCCCAAAACAATACCTCTCTGTAATGTCATTGTGTGATAAATTACCTTCATCCTATGTCAGCAAGATCTAACTAACTTGGAACCATGATTTTCCTGCCTACTACAATCTATCCAACTCACAACTTATTAAATATATATTTTCAATTATTGTTTCGGTTTTTTACTAGAGGGGGTTAAAAAAATTTAAATTTTACTATATGAGGTCGAATTTTACTAAAATGTACCAAATCATACAAAAAGAAACGATTTAGATGGTTAAAATCGACTTTAGAAGCCCAAGTTTGACTCACATCGTGTTTCCAGTGGTTTCCACATTTTATTTTATTTAGGTGAAATCGTGTTTTCATTATTTTTTTTAAATGTGATACTTAGCACGAGTTACACATAATTTGTTTTTTTTTTCAAAACAGGATTTTTTTTATTTTTTTTAATATTTATTTATTAAATAATTATTTTAATTGAATTATTAATTTAATAGAAAACAAAATTATTTAAACATAGTTAAATTTAATTCACTATATTTATATAAAAATATTATATTATTAAAAAATACAAATTTATTGTCAAAATGGACAGATTTGCACGATTATGTCATTCATTTTAATAAAAGGAACATTTTTTATTTCCAACTTGTACATCATTTTATTTCGAATCCAATTTAGTTGTAGGTCTTCCCGATGTGTCTCAACGCATATTAGCATCAGGACAAAAATTTGGACATGTATAAGTAGACCAATAATCTTCATTTCGAACCGGATAAAATTGAAATTCATACACCTTATGAATGTTTTGTAAGTTGTAAATCATATTGATAAATGTAGTCAATTGTAAATGACAAGAAAAACAAAACAATCATAACATGAGAATAAGGGAGTCAAAGAACTTGGAATTCCCCACAATCACACCACCATTGATTTAATCAAATTGTGTAACTTATCGATCTTTGACGATGCTAGGGATTGTATTTGTCTTAAATGTCAAACTCATAATTATCTCGATTGTACATTTGAACATGACACATTCGAGCACACTGTTCGTTTTTGTTAAGCAGTGTAGTAATATGTTTTGGATACTCATGTTCAGCTCGTCGTAACATGTACTATGCTTTCATGCCTCTTTCCACAAATCAAGATTCAATTCTTTTAAAAGTTGTTTTTACTAAAGCAGATAAAGGTAAAACTCGTGTTCCTTTGAGAACAGAATTCATAAACTCATCAAGATTTGTTGTCATATGTTCATATTGTTTCCCTCCATCATAAGCTTGAGTCCATTTCTCCAGTGGAATCTCATCTAATCAAGACATTTGTTGTTGAAAATCAGACCTTAAAGTAGATAATTTTGCTAAAAAATTTGGTTGTTTTATCTCATATCCTGCATAGAAAAATATTATTTTAGACATATTTTATTTAGATAAAAGAATTTGTCTACATTAGAAGATGTTTACCTAGATTGACGAGTTGTCTTTTCAAATAAATATTTTTTAACTTTTTGTTGAAATTTGAGACAATATGACGAATACAATACACTAAGGTGAGATCATTCCAATCAAGATCTTCTGATTTTAAAACTGACAATATTCCTTTGCCTATGTTTGTTATCATGCATAAATTATTTTGAGGTGTAACGTAATGTCTTAGAAGTTGCAAGAACCATATAAAGTCTCTTTCGTTTCACCTTCCACAATTGCAAATGCAAATGAAAATATGTTTCTATTGTCATTTTGTGAAATTGTAATCAATAATGTAACATGATATTTCCCTGAATGTACCATCAACTTGAATAATTGGCTTGTAATATTTTAACCCTTCTATACATGGCTTAAATGACCCGAAGACACGCTCTAATATAAATGGTGGATTATTATGGATACCATGCATTGAATGAGGAGAACAAATGTACTGAACAATTGTATTAGAATTATTATCGTCAACAACTTGCAACTACCTTAGAAAATCATTATATGAGTCGTCCCAATCTCCAAATGCCACAGTAAATGCCTTTTGTTTCGCTATCCATGCTTTTTTGTAAGTCATTGTATAACCATGTTTGTCTTTGACTTCTGCAATCAAAGTTTTAATATGAACAGAGTGATCTATTTTAACTAATTCAAAAATAATGTTAGCAATGATAGAAGAGTCTAAGTTTCTTTCATTCTATAATTTTTATTCATATTATTTTTGGACACAGATACTATGATCTTATAGTATTTTACTCCAACAAATCATGACTAAATAAAGGAAGTTATGATTATACAATATTTTATACCGTTATACAAACATATAATTTAGTTAATCAAATATCTTTATCCCAACATTCCCCCTCAAGTTGGTAAAGGAATGTCATACATTCCCAACTTGTCCAATAATCTCCTAAAAATCTGACTTGTCACAGCTTTGGTAAGAATATCTGCCAACTGATCTTCAAATTGAATATTTGGCAATTCCAAAATATTTTTATCAAGCTTTTCCTTGATGAAAAATCTATCAACCTCCACATACTTCATTTGATCATGTTGGACAGGGATGTGAGCAATGTCGCGCACAACTTTATTATCACAATACAACTGAATGAGACGTGTATGTCCATACCCTAAATCCTGGAGAAGTAGTCTGAGCCACAAACATTCACAAAGTCCAAGAACCATTCCTCTAAGTTCAGCTTCTGCACTGAATCTAGCTACAACTTTCTACTTCTTGTTTTTCCATGTGACAAGATTACCTCCTACAAATATAAAGTATCCAGAGGTTGATCTTCTATCATCAAGAGCACCTGTTCAATCTGCATCAGTATAAACTATCACATCCTTGTAGTTGGAGTTCTTCTTGAACATAACTCGTTTTTCCAGGAACAACTTTTATGTACCTTAAAATCCATATAACAACATCCATGTGTTTTTCACCTGGATTGTGCATGAACTGACTAACCACACTAAGAGCATAAACTAAATCTG